CTGCCTGCTAATGGTCTGGAGAAAGAAACACAAGATGGCCCAAGTGCTTGACCCTGCCACCCATGTGAGAGACTCCACCGAAACTCCTGGCTCCTGGGTTTGGCTTCATCCAGCCCACGCCACTGCAGTCATTTAGAAAGTCATCCCATAGATACAGAATCTTACTTTCTCCATCTCCCTTTCTCTCTGTAATTCTTTCAAACTTTTTTTTTTCAAAAAAAAAACTACAACCAACACTGTACACAGCTTTTAAGTAACGTTGCTCTAACCTTCATGGATAAGTTCTTAAAACAATAGTGTCTGATGGAAAAAATATACAGGAAAATAAAATTTATTGCGTGGACAAGCCAAATTTGGAAAAAGAAAAAAGTGTATTTTAATAATTCACAATATCAAATTAATAATTCTACAATATCAAAATATGAAATAATTTGCAGAAGAAATATCGAAATAAAGATGTGTAATTGATCTTTGAAATGGTTTGCAATCATTGCAGTTGTATAATAATTCCATTTGATTGCTGACAAATTTGCATTACTTCTGTGGCTATGCTAATTCAGTAGTGACAATAATTGGAAACGGATACTGAGAACTTTGCGCTGAGACTTATCTGCGCTATTTCACAATCCTAGCACCTGCTCAAATCAATACTGTTGCTATCTGTTTTGTAGATGAGAAAAGTGAGGCACCAAGAGTTTAAGTAAATAGTAAGTGATAGAAGCTATGAATCTGGCAGTCAGCTCCAGCGCATGTACCCTTAACTACTTGCAATAGTAATTAAAATTTATGACTAATGTATGACAATTTGAACCATAAGATAATTCAGTAAAAAATTACTTTTATCAAAGCTTGAATATGGTCACATATAGAGGAAATAAGTGCTACTCTCAAGTGTTTAAGTGAAATTCCAGTTTATATAAATAACACATAGACTACACATTAGATGAAGAACACATTACCTTGGGAATTACTGCCTTTTCCACATTCACATTTTTAAAAATACTAATAGGGCCTAGGGGTTTAGCATAAAGACTAGAGAACTAGACTGGGTTTAAATCTCTGGTCTACTTTCTTGCCTGATGATGCTTGAAAAGTTACTTACTTGCTCTATTCTTAGTTTTCCCCTATGTCAGATAGGAGTGTATGTTAGCTGCTCCTTGAGTAGTGGCAATTGAGTTAAAAACCATGAGGTGCTAAGATCAGTACCAGGCCCACAGAAAGTATATGCAGCCACAGGAATTAGCTGTCACATTTTTCAAGTGTTCCACTTGGATCTGTGGTTTGAGTGGCTTTGCCCTCACTAAAGACCAGTTCGCTTTCTTTGGTTCTTTTAGCTGCATTATATCCCCTTTAGTTGAGATTAGTTGAGATTTAGAACTTTGAAGCTGGTAGGGGAAATCTGTGCAAACTACAACTTCCATTCACTTTACATGAGATAATTTGCTTTTTAAGAAAGTGCATGTCATATCTACAATGAACATTAACTCTCACTTAAAATTGGTCATTAAAATACTTCACTGTAAGTCAAATTTGCAGTATGTAAATCAAATGATACCATTTCTGTCCAAAAGCTTCTAACATCACACTCAAATTTATCTTCTCAAGGCAACAACTGATTGTGAAAAGCAAAGTATCAAAGAGTAGATGTAAGACTTGAAAAAAATACCTAATATAAAAATACGGTGAGAAAAATCTGAAAAGAAAAAGGATAATCTGGGGAAAAACACAGCTGTCATATTTGACATGTGGAGTATAGCGTTTTGTTACTACATTGAAATAGTTAAGACAAAGTACTTACAAAGAAAAAAAAGGATTATTTTGGTTCATTGTTTTGGAGGGTCGCAGTGTCCACTCAGGCAGTTCCCTGGATTCTGCTGTGTGGTAAAACAGAAGGAAGGTAATATTACAGCACAGAGAGAGGAATCATTACATAGCAGGCCAGGAAGCACAAAATAGCTGGAGTGCTTGGGCTTTTATAAGTAGCCCTTCTCACAAGAGTTACCTTCCAGGGGCATACCCTAGGGTAACAAGGACCTCCCACTAGCCCCACCTGCCAAGCAGCACAACTATATTAGTTACAACCTCCTTAGTACCATTAACTTAGGACTTGCAGTGTTTAAACATCTGCATGAGTTCAGGAGCCAAATTTTATCCAAACTATAGTATGGGATTTCATAATTAATATAGTGGGAGAGCAAAAACAGACATAGGGCAATTATACTGATTTGTGCCATAATTATCGGGTTTCATTGTGGAATGTGATATATATACACAGAGCTGCCAAATCTCCACCTCATCTGGTGCTTGTGGATATGGCTGAAGGTAGGGGAAAACTGACCACGTTTAAAACATAATTTTCTGGCACAATTTCCCATGAGTTACTGCAGAGCAGAGGAAAGAAAGCAGCTGTATAACATCCAAGTACAATTTCACTGCCATCCTTAAATAATGGAGTTACACTGTGAAGTACGTAAAAGTGTCACTGCATAAACAATGTTACTGTGTATACTAGAATTATTGTAAAAATTTAAAACGTCATTGATGACTAGAATGTCCTTTTCTTTTTTCTTATAAGTTCAATCCTTGATACATTTTTGTCAGATGTTACAGGCCCAATTATGATCCATCATCTTTTTTCTATTTGAGTGGTTTTTTTTTTTTCCCCTCATAAAGCTAGCTCAGTGCAAGTACCCCAGTTTCCTTTAATGTAACTTTCTGGATCTGATCATCTTTTTTCTTCCCAAAGGCCTACATAACTGGTTATGAAATTAACTGATATACCTTGGGTTATGCTCCAAAGTGAAACAACGTGAGAAGTTGATAAGGTCATTCAATTTTCTTGTTTGTCTTTACAATTAGAGAAGGGATCAATTAGGGGGGGATATTTTTAGTATGTTTATTGCTTTCACAGACCGAAGCAGACTTAAAATGGCATCCATACTCAAGAATTCACTTACCTGCTTAAATACATGTAGTCTGAATTTCATTTTAAATTTGAGAGTGACATCTCTTTTGAATAGCAAAAAATAAATATGAAGAGAAACAAGAGAGAAACAGATATTTTTTTCAAGGATAGTGTCACTAAGTAGAAAAAACTGATAGGTTATGACCTGCTGTGATGATTGTAAACGCAGCCTCACTGATGGGTTTGGAGATAATGCAACCTCTCACTTTGTGCACAATACAAATATCTTTTTGTGTGAAAGGAAAAGTTATGCATACTGGAAAAATCAGTCGTAAAATTGGGCAAAGCGAATCTTTGGAAAACCATATGTGGTCAGGTTATACAGATGATATCTGCTCCAATAAATGAAATGACTCAGTGACAAAAAATGGTTGAACTATTTCAAAGTGCACTAGTGGTGCATAAAACTTAAATGGTAACTGGCTGTTGGTCTCCTAGTACAATTCTGGGGTTATGGTTTGGTTGCTATGCCCTTTTGTTGTTATGAAATTTGTTTGGAAGGGAGTATGGTTTATTTATTTATTTTTGCTTTGCTCTATTTTGGGAAGTATGTTAGTGTTGGGCAAAAAGTTTTAAACAGCAAAATTTTAGAAACTGGTCCCAAAACAATGGTCCGGCTTGTTTCTGCAGACCACAGGATTTTGATCCCAGACGGGTGCAACCCTTGTTTTCTCCCAAGGGCCAGTGGATATCTATAACATAATTCATGGGTCATATAAAATTATCAACTTAGACAATTATCCTTCTATAGATGTACTGAATATTGAGTGCTACCTTTGGTTACCTTAGAGGGACCAAATGAAATGATTTTGCAGGGTCTTATACGGCCTTCTGACTGGGTGTTCTCCACCCCCCTCATATCACACACAAGGATTCCGGATATAAGTTTTAGTACTGTAAACCCCAAAGATAGTTCTAATTATCAGTGATAGCATTGCATTTGTAGTCACAGGATTCTACCACTTTGAGATATTACTGACTTTAGTTTCTCAAAAAAAGAGTTTCAACAGCAGCCAAAACAGTATTTTTTACACCAAGAATCTATGTCTCCTTTCAGTTCATAAGCCTCAATGGTTTCCCATTTCCTTTAGAATCAACACACACATGCCACAGGCTGTCTATTCCTTGCACCTGCCTGCCCACCTCAGTCTCACCTCTGATGTGGTTCTCTTCAATTTCTTCTTCAGCTACTCTATCTAGTTCGTTTAAACCACTAGTTCCCAAACCCAGTTGCTGCCAGTACCTTTCCCCAGGGGTCACTTGCCAATGCCTGGACAACTTGAGGGACAGGGGGTGCTGCCACCCCTCTAGCAGTCCCAGACCAAGGGTGCTGCTCAAAGTACCATCAGGCACCAAACGGGTACCAACAACAAAGAATCCTCTGGAAAAAGCGGCGGTGGAGTAGGGGATTCCTTCATACCATGCCTTCCCTCTTCCAGGCCTTCTCTTCATCTTTTCCCCACTAATTCCTTTCTGATAACCACTCTCTCAAAGACTCTTCCATTCGGACACATATTATAGCCTTCCAAAGACCGGCGAGGCACTCAGGGATACCACTGACAAATTTTACATTTTCCCCCGATATGCCCAGGAACTAATACAGAACAGATAATTTAGCCTCACTTAGAAAGTCATGGGATAATGATGTCATTAGGTGGTAAGGACTAAGTAACACATTTCTTTAGCACAGCGCTTGAAGCATAGAAAATCCAAGGAAAAAACAACAATTAAAAAAAAAAACGCTCCATTCTATCCCTTTAGTGCTTCCCGCCTTCCTGCAAACCTTCGGCGTGTGAGGAATCCTCCTGTCAGCTAGCCAGTGGACACTGCTGCGCCTGCGCTCTTTTACCTCAGCCGCCAGGCCGGCTGTCGGAAGCACTTGCCTCGTCACCACCGGCCTGTCAGAAAAACCGGCCCGTGGCTATTGCGCATGCGCATACCGGGAATTCCGCCTTCTCCGGGCCTAGTATCCAACCGAAGAAAAGCAAGCAAAGCCTGTGAGCACGCCTGCGCAGGCGAGCGAGCGTACCCCGGAAGTAGTTCTTTGGCCCATGACACGTAGCAACGGAGCCGGTGTTGGGGTCTGAAATTCAGTTTTGGAGGCTCCTTGGGGTTCCTGGGGTTGGAGTTGCCGCCGTTCCCGCCGCCTCCGCGTTCGGTGAGTGTCCGAGACCGCGGCAGGCTGCTCGGCTTCCCCGCGCACCTGTGCGGCTCGGCTTGCTGCCGGCTCGCGGCGCCGCACCCTGGTCCTTTGGTTCGGACTTGGGCTCAGATGGGGTCCGCGCTGCCCAGGCGCGACCCGCCGACCCCCTGCATCCCCCGGCAGCCCACTCGCCCGCCCCCGGCAGCCCACCGACCCCCTGTATCCCCCGGCAGCCCGCCGACCCCCTGCATCCCCCAGCAGCCCGCTCGCCCCTGGCAGCCTGTCGACCCCTGTATCCCCCCCGGCAGCCCGCCAACCCCCTGCATCCCCCAGCAGCCCGCTCGCCCCTGGCAGCCTGTCGACCCCCTGTAGTCCCCCGGCAGCCCGTCGGTCTCTGCATCCCCCCGGCAGCCCGCCGAACCCCTGCATCCCCCAGGCAGCCCACTGCCCCCCTGCAGCCCCTTGGCAGCACCCCGGCCTGGCCGTGCGAGGAGACAGCCGTGGTGTGAGCCGGAGCTGTCCCGAGGCCAGGGCTCCTTTGCCGGTTGTTACTTAAGAGTCCGGTGGGTCTGCTGCTCCCACCCCGAAACCGAGGTGACTCGCTTGTGGGGTCGCACATTTTTCCTTTATTCCTCTTTACCCCCTTCCAGGCTTGCAGGTGACTCCCCCAGAGTATGGACAGTGTGTTGAAGCCCCGGGGTCGAGGGACGGACTGCAGTAACCAGTTGTCATTCCGTTGCAGATCGTTTGCAATGTCAGGCTTTGAGAACTTGAACACGGATTTCTATCAGACAAGTTACAGCATTGACGACCAGTCGCAGCAATCCTATGATTATGGAGCCAGTGGAGGACCCTACAGCAAGTAACTTTTCCAGTTTTGTGGTTTATTTGGTTAGCACTAACAGTGACAGCATCTGTTAGAGTGTTTCCTTCTGCCTGAGACTGAATGAGCCATGGTGTTTTTTAAAAATTTTTTTTTAACATTTTTTTTAAAATGTTTTTTTAAAAATGCGATTGTGATTTTTCCATCCTCTAAAGAGGAGGGAACGGCCTTTAGTTTGCTCTCTGCTGCACACTCTTAGGATGTGCTGGAGTGACAAGCAGCACCTAGACGAGGATGGCAGTTTCACTTACCTAGAAGATAGGTTGTTTAGTCTGGAGGACCTGCCCCAAATTAAAATCTTTGATGAGAAAACTTTCTGGTAGAAGTCCAGCTTTCAGGCTTTAGCGATGTTAATTGAAAAATGCTTAGGGACACTGCCTAGTGGTGACTTTCTCTGGTGTAAGTCATGAAGTAATTATAATGTTCTTATAATCATGTTTGTTTATTTGTTTTAATTTGTACTAACACATGATGAACATTATGGCCTGTAGCTTACAAGTTAACCACTTCCAGATTTTAGGGGGTGGGGTAACTCCAAGCTATTAGGACTCGTCTTAAAAAAAAACACTTAAAAAAAAAACAAACCGTAGTTTTTTGCAGCAAAAGTAGATTCACTGAAGGCTTTTTCTAGCAACCTCTAGGACATCATATACTTAGTCTCACAGCCCCTAAACATTTTACCAGCCTCTCATCAAATGAAGGCGGTTTCTGTACCAGGGAGGCTTCAGTCTTCCTGGGCTCCTTTAAGAGTCTTATGAAAATGGCCTGTTACCCAGGAATACAATGCACACACTCACTTAAATGCCCAAATGCCCTGGTGAGGGCAGTCAGATGCCATCTGATGTTCATCGGCGTCTTCGGTAGCAAAATGCCTGTGGAATGTATTCCCGGGGTGTGGGAACACAAGGGCAGGTTGTGTACCCTTGTACATATTTGATAATTACTCTGGCTGAAAGTAAGTTTGGCCATATGTTTAATTGATCCTGTCTGTAGTAGCAACAGGGCTTGGGAGAGCTTGTCTATTTAGCCGCTTGATCTCTGGGTTTAGACTCAACAGACCTATTCCATTTGAATTGCCATCTCCTGGATTTATCTGTCTGTTAGCTCTTACTCTGTTCTTAGGATGGCTTTAAGGGGGTAACTTCCTCTCCCAGCCGTGATAGTCTCATTTCAGTTCTTTACACAGCAGTTTGTCTGCCGCTAGCCCTTCGTTTTCATAGTTCCATCCCAACCAAATCACATGCCACTAGCACCGTTCCGATACTAATGAAGTTTCTTCTGGGTGGGTCTGTAGCTTCACTGCCAGGTAAATATCCATCTTAGCTTAGTAAGTAATTATTTGGCTTCCTAGAGTTGTTAATGAAAACCAACTGATAACTTCCTGCTCTTGGCTGTAGAAAACATGGGTTAAAATACCATACTGCTTGGATTGTCTTCAAGTTTGACTTAACTTCTTGTTGGTGCGTAACTCTGCATTAGTGCATAAAGTGAGCTTTTGCATTTTGCACTTTGCTCTGTGGGTACTTAATAGGTGTCACCCTTTTGTCCATATACCTGTCCCCATCTCTCCAAAAAAGTAATGTTGCATAAATACCACGTCAAGTTCTAAATATGCCTACAAAATATATAGTAATAGTCAAAAAATTTTTAACTATTAAAAGGTGTTGTGCTCTTATGCTAAACTTTACGAATATAATACCTTTGTGGAAAATCTGAAGGCTTTTGTGAACTTAGGAGTAGCTAACCCAGTATAGGAAGAAACTCTGCGTGTAACACAGTGTTTTGGAGAGCACTGCTTTGGTAAATGCTTCTCTTTTTGCCATGGAAGTGTGCTTTAATCTGCATTGATAACTACTATACTATGTTTCAGTTTTGTTTTGTGTTTGTTTTGTTTTTTGTTTTTTCTCTTTGAATATTTATTTTATTTATTTTAAAAGCAGAGTAAACAGGTTAAGTGAGAGAGAGAGAAAAAAAAGAGATAGGTCTTCCATCATTGGTTCATCCTTCAAATGGCTGCAAAATCCAGGAACCAGGAGCTTCTTCCAGGGCTCCCGCGAGGATGCACAGGCTTAAGGACTCAAGCCATCTTCTCCTGCTTTCCCAGGTGCATTAATGGGGAGTTGGATCAGAAGTAGAGAAGCTGGGACTCAAATAGCACCAATACGGGATGCAAGCATTGGAGGTGGCAGCTTAATGGACTGTGCTACAGCACTGCCCCATGTTTTAGTTTTAAACCAGCAGCAGGGCCTGGCGCTATGGCTCAGTGGCTATTTCCTCACCTTGCACATGCTGGGAACCCATATGGGCACTGGATCATGTCCCAGCTGCTCCACTTCCTAACCAGCTCCCCGCTTGTGGTCTTGGAAAGCAGTCGAGGATGGCTCAAGGCTTTGGGACCCTGCTCCTGTGTGGGAGACCTGGAGGAAATTCTGGCTCCTGGCTTTGGATTGGCTTAGTTCTGGGTATTTGAGGAGTGAAGTAGCAGACAGATATCTTTTTTCTCTCCTGTGAATCTAAACAAATCCTTTACAAAAAAAAAAAAAAGCCAGCAGTAATGGATGAGAAACTTTCCTACATGATTCCAGTTAGAAAAGCAAAATAGCGAAGTCCATGTTCTCCTTTTCGCATTGCATTTTGAAAATAGAATGATAGTACCACTTTGAAATGGTTGTTGTTGCTAACACCATGTCTTTTCTTCATGTGGACTTTATGAGTCTCTACTAGTGGCTTTTTTGTTGTGGATGGTAGACCTCAGAGGGCCTTTGAGGCCTAGAAGAAACGTTTAAGGTTAAAAATTATTTTCCTGACAGTGCTAAGATGTGCTGCATGTTTTAAGTTTGATGTTACAGAAATCCTGGTTGATCAAAATGCTGATCTATGAGACTGAATCAAGGCAGTGCAATCAAATTGCTATATTAGAGGCTGGTTTCTTTTTGCACACTTGTAGGAGTCAGTTGTATTTAAGTATTTTCCTGATCAGTTAGAATTACAGTTTTACTAATTCTAACCCTTGAGCATGCACATTTCTTTAGCATTCAGTGTGACAAAATGAAAAAAAATCATAAAACTCTTCCACACATACTAAAAGGGTGGTGATTTTTTTCAAGAAGAGCACTTGAACAATTCAAGTTGCCAGCTGAACAAGCTGCTTTTTCCTAAAAGCATTTTTATTTGTAAGAACTGCCAGGGGCCAACATTGTGGTCCAATGGTTTAGTCCCTGCCTGTGATGCTGGCATTCCTATGAATGCAGTTCACATCCTGGCTACTCTACTTCAAACTAACTGCCCACTGATGTCTCTGGGAAAGCAGTGCAAGATGGACCACATGGTTGGGCTCCTGCCACTCACTGGAGTGACCTGGATGGAGTTCCAGGCTTGTGCTTTAGCCTGATCCAGTTCTAGCTGTTGTGGCCATGTGGGGGTTGAACCAGTGGATAGAAAATTGTTCCACCTCTCTGTAACTCTTGTTTTGAAACAAATAAATTTAAAACAAACCAACAAAACAGCAAAAACAACTGCCAAAGATTTGCTATTCAGACTTGAGCATTTGACAAATTTTTGTTCTCAAAAGTGAATGAACTGAACCTTTACCTTGAGGACAGTAACTGAAAATGTGTGTCACCAGTGTATACATTCAAGTTTGCAGACAAAATGAGGGTTTGGAAAGCTTGAATCTGCCACTTGAACGTTGACTAGTTACATCGTCGATTTCCGTTTATTGACTTTTTTTTTTATCAGAGCATGGTGATTCTAACATTTTTCTTAATTGGTTGAATTAAATATGTTGCTATATGAAAGATATGTCAAAGTAATACTAAATATTTTCTGAATGGCTAATGCTTGGTACTATAAATTCATACACTGATAAAGAATTAAAAGAGCAAGATGTTCCTTTTGTTTGCATTGAAGAGGTCCAGAAAGTTTATTGATACTGTTTTCAACTCTGTGTTGCAGCTTGAATTTTGAAAATGCTTTATTTTTGTGTAGTGATGTACCTTCCATAAAACTGTGCGATAGTCAAGAAAAGCTTTCCGTTCACATGTGCAGGAACATTAGTTTTCCATAGCAGATTGAATTCAGAAGGAAGTGTAAGATTCTATCTTTTGTTAAAGTAGAAAGTAGTAAGTGGTATTTTCATAATTATAACAATACTACTTACTGCATTTTTTGAAAATAGTTTTATTGAAGTGTTTTTGCTGATATAATGCATGTGCTGTTTAAATTCATTTATAATTTTCTGTTTTAATTTCTAGCAAGCATTTACAGGCAGTAACTCATATAAACGAAAACACTTTGGAGGTTTTTTTTTTTAAAGATTTATTGTTTTTATTGGAAAGTAATTTTACAGAGAGAGAGAGAGGTAGAGGGAAGTCTTCCATCTACTGCTTCACTCCCCAAATGGCCTCTTTGGCCAGAGCTGAGCCAGTCTGAAGCCAGGAGCCAGGAATTGCCTCCAGATCTCCATGCAGGTGCAGCATCCCAAAGTTCTGTGCCATTCTCTCCTGCTTTCCCAAGCCACAGGCAGGGAGCTGGATGGGAAGTAGAGCTGCTGGGGTTAGAACCGGCACCCATACGAAAAGCTAGTGCTACAGTGTAAAGAATTAGCTTATTGCATCATCTTGCTGTTCCCTGTAGTTTTTACTATATTTAAGAATATAAAGTGGTTTTATATACATACATACATTTATATATATATAAATAAAAAAATATACTGGTCCATGCTGTTCTTGGTTTTATATTATATTACATATTATATTTTATTATTATGTTATATATAATTATATATAATATATTATATTTTATATTATATTATCTCTCGGAAAATAAAATACAGTTTATTCAGACTATACAAATACCAAACTGGAGCTTTTCCAGATTTTGTGGCTTCAGAAATGGATTGAGACAATCTTAACTTGAATCAGTGCAATAGAGTATTATATATCACGAAGTGTTGGTGGTTATCTTAGTTTAGCTTGCCCTATTTGGAATGAGTTTGTATGTGCATACACATTAAAATAAATAGAAGTAGACATTTGTGTGCCAGAAAGATTGTGAAAACACAAATACAGACCAAATTATTAGAATTATCTTTGTTGGATAGGATGTTGAGTTAATTTTTACATGTGAGAGCTGAGAGTTGGCCACTGGAATCAAACAGTCTAATTTTGAACCCTGACTCCATCATGAGCAAATTATTTTAAGGTAAATTTCCAATTCCATATCTTTATAGTAGAGACAATAGTATCCGTGTGTTAGTGTTATAATGTGAAAGTATTATAAGGTAATATAAAATAACTCAGTAAACACTTGTAACACATAGTAACATTGAAATAGATGATTATATTTTAGAAAGTTTAATAAATATGCCTATATCACACATGTTATTTTAGGATTAACTTTATTAAACAATAAATATACAACATTTTCCAACTTATAGAAGTTTGTAATATGAAAAATAAGTCATCTGTTTTCACCCATTTTCAAGTTTTTTATGTAATACTGTGATTTGAAGTTTCTTGTACATACACTCAGAGATACCTGTACAAATGTGTGTGTGTGTGTGTGTGGTTGCAGCTATCTATAATCACTGTTTCAAACATTACCTTTCTCCCGACTGAATACATACCATTTGCCCTCAACAAAATTGCCGCATTGTTTTTAACATATGCATGCAATGTTTCCCTTTCTCCCCTTCCCCATATTATTGCTATTAAAAAAAAATGATATAGGAAATACTTTTTGCACTTCCAGAAAAGCAAGTAGTACTTTATTAAAAAATGTATTGAAATAGTATTGTACATCTTGGACTCACATTGGGGTTTCCAGAGTTGTGTACATCTGAAAAAATGCCATTAGTTTGATTTGCTTTTAGTCAAGATGTTCAATTAATTTAAAAATTGAGTTTAGTTTGGGCCTGGCACTGTAGCCTAATGGCTAAAGTCCTTGCCTTGCACACGCAGGGATCCCATATTGGGTGTGCCAATTCATGTCCTGGCAGCCACGTTTCCCATCCAACTCCCTGCTTGTGGCCTGGGAAAGCAGTCGAGAACGGCTCAAAGCCTGGGCACCCTGCACCAATGTGGGTGACCCAGAAGAAGCTCCTGGCTCCTGGCTTTGGATCGGCTGAGATTTGGTTGTTGCAGCCACTTGGGAAGTGAATCAGCAGAGAGAAGAGCTTCTCTGTCTGTCCTTCTCTAAATGAAAGCAAATAAATCTTTTTTAAAAAAAATTGACTTTAATTTTAAAAGATCAGTGTTAATGGATATTACTAAATGTTTACATTTTCTGAAACAAAAGTGTAAAAATATAAAAGACTAGAGCATCTCTAAGACTTCTCAGCCTTCATTCTAAAAAAGTATCTTAAAATAATTAGCTTACTTCTACATATTCTACCGTAAAATCATATTAGTCCCATTAATATATAAGTCATATTATTATTTGAGAACATAGTGAAATTTAAAGATATGGCCTAAGTATTCTGTTCCCTTTTGTCGTTGTACTTAAGTAGCCGTTTTAACTACTCTCCAATAGTCGATTGCCATAGTACTCATCAAGTAAGACATCAGGTATACAGGCAGGTGGAAACATTGAAAACCCTATTTCAATGCAAATGGTGTTAATGTTATGTATTCTTTCATAAAAAGATTTAATTTATTCCACTTTATGGTTTGAAATTGTGCTTGCTTAATTGTCTACTTACAAAAGTGACGTACTATGAAGACAAAGAAGAATGATGCAAATTATAATGGCAAGTTACAGACAGAGTGTCATCTGTACCTTTCATTCACAACATACTTTTTTTAAAGATTTCTTTTTCTATTATTAGAAACTCAGATATACAGAGAGGAGGACAGACATAGAGGAAGATCTTCCATCCATTGATTCACTCCCCAAGTGACCACAGCGGCTGGAGCTGCGCCGATCCAAATCCAGGAGCCTAGAGCTTCTTCCAGGTCTCCCGCATGTGTGCAGGGTCCCAAGGCTTTGGACTGTCCTTGACTGCTTTCCCAGGTCACAAACAGGGAGCTGGATGGGAAGCGTGGCTGCCGGGATTAGAACCAATGCCCATATGGGATCCTGGCGCATGCAAGGCAAGGACTTCAGCCACTAGGTTACTGCGCCATGTCCCACAGCATACATTTTATTTCACAGTGTTTGTGCATACTTACTAGGAAGGAAAAAAGCCACAATTTGGAATTTATTGCTTGTTTCCCTAGTGTTTAAACAGTTAGTACTTAGTGAAGTACTGTTTGCCACAGAGTTGTTATCAGCATCATTGGGAGGATTCTCTGAAAGCAGACGACTTCTTGTTTAACTAATTATCTTGATTTTAGTAATAATTCAACAACCGTTTATTATTTATTTATTTATTTTTAAAAGACTGGCCAACTTGGAGCCTTATGTATTACATGCCTGAATATTTCTGTCAAATGACATTTAAGAGATACTCATGTTGGGGACCTGAAATGTTGATGAGAAATTTACATTTCATTGATTCATAGACAATATGCTGGCTACGACTACTCGCAGCAAGGCCGATTTGTCCCTCCAGACATGATGCAGCCACAGCAGCCGTACACTGGGCAAATTTATCAGCCAACACAGACGTATACTCCATCCACACCTCAGCCAATCTATGGGAACAACTTTGAGGATGAGCCACCTTTATTAGAAGGTAGGATGACTGTTGGTAGTGTGTTGAGTATCCTTTATCCAAAATGTCTGGGGCCAGAAGTGTCTCAGATTTTGTAGTTTCTCAGATTGTGGAATACCCACAGAGCATCTCTACTCTAAAAATCTGAAACCTATAGCATTAGACATACCCAAAACTGTAGTATTTAGCTAGTCAATAAAAATAAATTTTAATTTGGAGAAATTGTCCTTTCCTTTAACCCATCGTGCCCCATTGTCTTTTACAAGATAGCTAGATAGGAGAAGTTAAGCCGAACAATAAATATACTACTTGGCATAACTTTGAAGTAAATATCATGTCATTGAGTATAGTCACTGAATTGGAAACTTGACATTTAGAAAAGAATAATGTTACAGAAGATAGTTGTCTCTTAAGTAACTCATTTTAAACAAACAAACTCATTTTAGCCACACTGGGCCAGATTTTTAGTATTTCTATAAACTGATAATAAAGAATGTCAATGTCTAAACATTTACTTTAGATTATTGGTTCATTTTGTCATAAAAAGTGAAAGAAGGTAATATGATATTGAGTATTCTAACGGGAAATAAGCTGGTGGAAATATTGACATAATTGAAAAGGAGAGTTTTCAGGTTATTTTCCAACCCCAAACACCAGCTCACTAGCTCTGGTCTTTCCCTTTCCCTTCCCCTTCCCTTCCTTTCTTTCCCCTTTCATTTTTCAGGTACAAGGAAGCTCAGGTGCACCCCTTTTTAAAGGCAGTAAAGGTGTGGAAACTTTTCAGAAAAGTGCACAGATATTCATGGAGACATGGCTTTGTGTATAGTTTCATGGGCCTCTGTGTATTTCTGAGATGAATATCGGGAATTTGCTATGAATCCATGTGTTCTTTCTATGCAGTTGGGGCTGAGGATGTCATGATCATATCTATATTTCCCAATACCAAAGCAGAAAGCAGAAGTCAAAAATGGTTTAGTTGAGGGAGAGACACCACAACCAGGTAGAATGTTAGTGATATTGCTAGTGCAGTATTTCTAGTGTTGCTGGATCCTCTTTTGCAGTTAGATATTTCCTTTTGTTTCCTGTCCCAACACAAGTTCTTGAATTAAATTATATTGCAAATCCTGAGTGACTTCCTTATTTTCTTTTTCTTTAGAGTTAGGAATCAATTTTGACCACATCTGGCAAAAAACACTTACAGTGTTACATCCTTTAAAAGTAGCAGATGGTAGCATCATGAATGAAACAGATTTGGCAGGACCAATGGTTTTTTGTCTTGCCTTTGGAGCAACATTATTACTGGTAAGATATTTATAATTTTTGTTTTTTAAAGCCAAGAGACACAGATAGATTTTCCATTTGATATTTAACTTCCCAAATTCCTGGAATAGCTGAAGCCGGAGTGGGCTGAGGCCAGGAATCCACAACTCAGTCTTGATCTCATACATGTTTGACAAGGATCTGGATTATGAAAAAAAAATCTTGCAAACCTGGTACTTTTTGAAGATTTCTCTGTACTTTAATTTTAGTGATAATATTATCTGAATATGACAGTTGTTCACATAGCATTTCTGGTATGATATTTCCAGTTTGGTTAATCTTTGCTATACAAGTGCAATTCAGTGATATTTTTTAACAGGACAGAATTGCTAGAGGTTTTTTTATTTTGTTTTTATTGTCTCATTGAAGGAATGGAAATAAATGTTTTGTTGTATTACTTTTGCCTTTTCTTCTGTCCTCACAGAATTCCAACTTCCTGTTTATCCTGTATTTTTGTCCTCCCAATTTCTGTAACACTCATGTAAAGTGAATAATGAAATTATTTCTGTGGTTAAAGATATTACATCTGCCAATGATAATAAATTGCTGGAAGCCATTGGGGTAAATTAAAGGCTTTCAAGTGATATGGGCTGCTATCCAAACATTCTGAATGAAGTTCCATCTTGTCTCTGTAGTTTATTTAGTTAAAATCAACCAGAGTTCTTTTTAGGAATCAATTTTAGTTGACTTGCCATGGTTTTGTCTCTTAATTATATGTTAGGTTTTAAAGTCAAATGCTAACTGAAATAGAAAACTAAATATTTGTGTATGAGAAAGTAATGCTTCAAAGAAGGATGTAGAATCCCATTTGGTCTTTTATGTCCTTGCAGAAAGAATATTTATTTCTGTTCATTACGGTGGTCATGAGTTAAATATCTTCCACATGTACCATTTTAGGTGAAATCACACTAAAAGTAAATTCTCCTTTGTCCTTTAACTTTTAATTTTTTCTCCACCCTAGGCTGGCAAAATCCAGTTTGGCTATGTGTACGGCATCAGTGCAATCGGATGTCTGGGAATGTTTTGTTTATTAAACTTAATGAGTATGACTGGTGTTTCTTTTGGTTGCGTGGCAAGTGTCCTTGGATATTGTCTGCTTCCTATGATCCTGCTTTCCAGCTTTGCAGTCATATTTTCTTTGCAGTAAGTACTGATATTTATCTGGGGGATTGATTCACTGATTTTGTGTGATATTAATGAACTGCATCATCAGCTTCAGATAAATCACTCTCTGAGCAAACATCAGGTAATTGGTATTACCTGATGCAGTAAAGACTCCTGCATGCTTTTGGGTGACAAATAACAGGAATGAAGTAAATTTTAAAATCATCATGCTCTATCTCTGCTTTTACCTGTGATCAGGAATTTAACTAGTTTTTGTTTTGCCTGTGTCATAACGATATTGAATCAAAAAGTGTGATTAACTTAAATATTACATGGAAAAGCTCAACTCATTATTGCAATTTTTTTTACCACCTTTGATGTTTTTTAGATTATGTCTAATTTCCTGAGGCAGTTGAGCATATTACAGACATGCAAATAATATATACAAGAACACTCTGTTTTAAGCCTTTCAGCTAAAGATGAAACATATCTTTACACTACAAAGCCTATTATTGGCTTATTTAATTCTCAGATGTACTTGTAAACAACTTCAAATATCTGTATTTTTTAAAGTCATATTTTAAGTTAGGATGAAATAAAGGGCTATTTACTACCAATAAGGTTCCCTGTGACTGTGTGCAGGTCCTCTCAGTGACTTAGACTCCACTTTGTGGCCAGTGCTGGATGCTGCCAGTCTGAAAAGTAGTTAGAATATTCACCAACTGCTTACTTCATGCTAGAGATGTCGCAAGATGATGGTTTCATCATGTTCCTACTGGACATAAAAATGTTTCAGATTTTCAGGACAGAAATTTATTTTTGAAGAACTGATATATTTGAATTTTACTTAAGTTATTGTTTACTAGAGGTGTTTCTCAACCAGGAACATATTTGCCTCCCAGGGGACATCTGAGACTATCTGGATACAGTTTTGGTCTCATGGTTGTGGGTGGTAGGAATACTGCTTCCTTGTGGGGTGCAGATCAGAGATGCTGCTGAACACCCCAGCCATGCATGGTGAACCTCAAAACAAAGACACAAGCAGCCCATTCATCAGTAGAGGCAGGGTTGAGATACTCAAGCAGAAGTAGCTGTAAGGGAGCTTTTACCACAAGAAATGATTCAACACCATGAAGTCATTGAGAGGTCCATTTTAACATTTCAAAAACATCTTGATTATTTCTGCATATGTCAACAAGTGAATTTAAAATGCTTTTCTTTCAAATAGGTTTTTTGAATTATTCTTAGGCAACTAATCTCACCTGTTTTTCTTTCTCCCTGTTTTTTTGTTTGTTTGTTTGTTTTGTTTTTTTCTTTCTTGGTTGCAGAGGTATGGTAGGAGTCATTCTCACTGCTGGAATCATTGGATGGTGTAGTTTTTCTGCTTCCAAAATTTTTATTTCTGCATTAGCCATGGAAGGACAGCAACTTTTAGTAGCATATCCATGTGCTCTGTTATATGGAGTCTTTGCCCTGATTTCTGTCTTTTGAACTGAATTTGGGATGCGGACATCAGTGGGAGAAACACACAAAGAGACCTTGAACTCTTAAATCGGACCAGCGAACTGCTACAGCACACCTCTCTTGCAGATAGATTTACGTTTAACGATTGGAGCAATGGAAGCAAACATGGATCTTTTGTTCGTTTTTATAGAACTTTTGAACACTATGTTGGATTTTCCTACAGTGTGACTAGCTTTAAGTGTTTGTGCTTATAGAAATAAGAAGTGCTAGTTCTTTCCTGTTACGCAGCCTTTGAGAAACTTTTAACTTGCAAATTATGTTTTTATAGATTTTTATCAAACCAACGGCAAGGCTGGTATCTTTTCTTAAAAACAATTCAGACATAGTTTAAAAAAAAAAAGATGCAAGACTTCTTGGAGAAATACTTTTCCAAGGAATTTGGAAAGAAAAAATTCTATGTCCACGTCAGTTGCATTTGAAGACTAAAGAAAAAAAGATCTCATTATTGACTTGTACGAGTTTATGTTTCAGAAGTTTGACATTCCTGTCAATCAGTCTCTTGAAATTTTTTGCTAAAATTCAGATAGGAGGCTTACTCTCTCTTATTACAGATGTGAAAAGTGAACTCCTGTTTAGAGAATATTAATTAAGCCATTATGACCTAGACTGGCTGCATTAGTGCTCATAATTGGGTCTTCACCTTTTCCCAGAAAATCACTATCCTTTTTGAGGAAAGATATTTAAAATTTCACAATTTCTGTATTGCAGTTATCAATGTAAAATACATTTGATGCTTACTAATTAAAATTTTCCAAATTAATTTTATTTGTGTTTTTGAGTATACTTTCATCACACCACTGTTTTGAGTGTCTTGTTTTTCTTTAAATGAGGACGTTATTTTGACTCCCAGCTTTGCCTAGCCTCGAAGATAGAAACCACCTAATAATAGAAAAAATGGATTACATGAAAAGCAGTTTGGTTTGAGTTATATTATTTTTTGTATTGAATATATTTGCTTTATGTTGTCATGCTCTCTTATCACTGCATCTGTAGGAAAATACTGTATATCCTGTATGTTTTTCATGAGCTTTTTCTAGATAAACAGCTCTGATTGTGGAAAAAAGAGTTACAAGAAAGGCATGGAAAGGAAAATGTCTTTTTTTTTTTTAAGTGGAGACTCAGACTAAATAAAAAGGAATACCAAACTATTGTAGTAATGATTCTTTTTTGGAGTAAGTCTTCAACAATCAAAGGAGGTTGAGATAAGTAAAATTCTCTCACATTGTCATACTTTCTCATTACTAGCATCACAGTGTATTTTTTTCATTAATTCTTAATCTGGGAAAACAAACTGATTAGTTTTGAACTAGGTTTCATACATAGAAAATTGCTATGGAATATTTTTGTCTAGTAATCCTTATATATCAACTTTGATTTTTTTCAGTTTATTTTACTAATACAATTGTTAAAGCTTTAACATTGTGACAAATGCCTTCTTTAATATCCAGTTCTTTCTAATGAACAAGGTAGATGATTCTTTGGGAATTAAAATCCCTCCTTATTCATTAGATTTCAGAATTAAATCAGCCTAATTCCCCAAATAAAGTGTTTATTTATTGCTATCCCAACAAAATAAGTAGTTGTTTAAATTATTGTAGAAATTTTGGTTTTGTTGAACTTCCAAATGATAACTGTTTTATATTCAGCTGTTGCAGTGTCAAAAGAGGCTTACAGGGAAATTTCCTGTATACTTTAGCATTTGCTTGGTTTCTCAAGGAGTTGTGTATAGCCAAAATTTGCCTTATAAAGTTTTCTTAAATATACAATACATGGACAGCCATAGTTGCACATACCTTAAAGACATATACCACATCTCAGAAAGTACCATGTGACATTTTTTTGTGTGTGTCTTGCACTGTATTAGATGTGTTACATTTGTACATACTAGATTAAGTATCTGGCTTGCTTTCGAGGCCATTTACACTAGAAATATCAGAGCATAGCTAAAAGTTCACCCACTGATTGTGGTGGATACCCAAAACACTTTGGGGATGACCATATCACTGCAGGTTTTGTACTTCTGAGCTCACTCATCATGCTTATATGCATGCAAAGATATAGTCAATTTTGCATATTTGTGTAAAGGTGTATTTTATGAATTGTAACAATTTGCCTACTCTGTGTTTTAAGAATTGCATTACTAGCCTTGTGGAAACAGGTATTTCCCCAGATACAGTTTCACAGATAATACAGAGTATAAATCTTAAAATACTCATTGGCATCCCTTCCAAATATGCTTTTTTTAAAAAATTTAGGAATTTATCTTTAATTCACAAGCTCAAATGGCTGTAGTTAAAAAGAAAACAATAGAAATTAAACTCCACCACCAAAAACAAAACAGTGAAACCAAGACACTATTTGTAAGTCTAAGGCCTTCTAGCCTTCCAAATGTAAGCGCTCTGAAGACTGTATCAATTGGAAGAACAAGGCATATATATGAATGGAGCCATGACATTTATATAACTGGAAGATCCTTCCTGGAACTATTTAATCGGCTTTACAAGAGAAAACAAAAACAAACACTTCCTAAAACAGAACAGAATGAAATTCCAGTATTCCCAATCAGCATGTTCCATGTGGATAGAGACCAACAGTGATCCCGCTTTCCGTTCTGTCTTCCTAGAGCTCCAATCCATATTCACTTCAGCAGAGACACCACAGGAAACAGGAAAGAGCCTGGCATTAAAATAGGCACAATTCAGTGTAGTTGTATGATCTTGCTTATACACAAGCTCACAAACCTGGGGTTAGAGGTATAACCTAAATGGGTGCTAAGACAAGAATTAAAGAAAAATTAGAAAAAGGAAAAAAAATGCAAAAGAAAAGGGAGAAAACAAAACCCTTTGGAAATCAGGGCATTTAATATAGGAACTATAAGGCAGTATTTAAGTTCACTTTTTTTTAAGAGAATTTTTTGGCTTAAAATATTTCACTCTAATAGAATTTATGTCAGCAGTCTATGATTGTCACCAATACACTATGAATACCTTTTACAATGTAAATCCATGTCCCTGTCCCCTTTTTTACCCTATTGCAATTATTACAACTAAGAGACTAAAGCTCAAACACATTTTTGTAGTTTTGAATTTGAACTGTGCATAAACCAAATTTTATAATACTTCCACTTAAGATTGGGACACTTGATTCTTCCATGTGGATCTTAGGACCTTTTCCCACAGGTTTTTCATTTTTTTTTTTAAAGATTTTATTTTTATTACAAAGTCAGATATACAGAGAGGAGGAGAGATAGAGCAGAAGATTTTCCCCCTGATAATTTGTCCCCCAAGTGACCGCAACGGCTGGTGCTGTGCCGATCCTAAGCCAGGAGCCAGGAACCTCCTCCAGGTCTCCCACATGGGTGCAGGATCCCAAAGCATTGGGCCGTCCTCGGCTGCTTTCCCAGGCAGGGAGCTGGATGGGAAGTGGAGGTGCCGGGATTAGAACCAACGCCCATATAGGATCCCGGCTAAGGCAAGGACCTTAGCCGCTAGCCAGGCCCAACAGGTGCTTTCTGGTTCATCAAGGTTACTGCAGCTTCACTGTCTCCTTAGGCTTCTTCCTGACGCTGTGGATGTGGCGACAGTGACGGCTGCTAGAGTCACAGCAGCAACTGCAACCTCGGCCTTCTCAACTTCTTGATTTTTTGTGTTTCTTGTCCTTCTTTTTTCTTTTTCTTTCCACCTCCTTTTTGATAGGAATTCCTTGACCGGTGCCGCTGGTGACCAGTTTGTAGAGAGTGCCTGAGGCAGAAGAGAGGATGCAGGTGCTGGCAGCTTTTTAGCGGGTGGTTTAGTAGATGCAGACCCAGATAGGAGATGAGACCCTCCTTACAAACTGTGGGCTTGGACAGGCAGTCTTTACTCTGGGAAACTCGTAAGGGAGATGGAGACTGCCTTCTCTGGAGTGAAGACGCATGGGCAAGGGGCCAGGAGGAGGTCCGAGGAGTGCGAGGCCAAGGGGAAGGCAAGTGCTCTTTTATGGCGAGAGTACTTTGTGGGCAGTGTGGCCTGATGAAGGGCCTTTTCTATGCTTGGATGACCACGAAGGCAACCGTCTAGGTGACTGGGGAGCTTCTTGGTTTGGGTGACAGACAATGCGAGTCTCGCTGCTTCACTGGCAGAGATGGCAACCTTCATTTTGGAGAGGATCGAGAAGAAGCTGTCCTTTCCTTGGGAGGCAGAGAAAGGGAGTATTTCCTTATTTCCAGCATCTGATGAAGTACCTCCGGGTGGGGTGAAGTCCTTGGTCCTTGTGGTGTAGGAGACCGGAGTGACCGGAAGAAGTGGGCGGAGAACAGACCGGAAGAAGTGGGAGGACGCCGCCTTGTGGTGGGTGGTGGGGAAGAGCTCCTCAGTGTACCGTGAGGCGAGGACGTGACCCGCGGGCGCTGCGTCCTGAGGGGCATGCCCTCCTGGCAGGGGACGTTCTCCACCGGCTTCTCTCGCCATTCTTCCCTTGGAATCCTTTGAGTCCCTCATTTTCTAAGGAGGAAGACGAGCTGTCTGTCCTGGCGCCTGTTGCCAGAATCGGCCGCTACCATTTTACCACCTTCATCTGCTTCAGAGAACTCTACTTTTTTTTAGGTTGTGGTGCTGGTGAAGGAGACTCTTTTTCTCAGGACCTTTCCGCTTTGGCACTTTACCTCAAGTCCTTCCCCGAGACACAGAGACACGGCTTTTTCTTGTGCGCTTTGACTGCCGAGGCGCTGGGGAGTGGCGAGGGTTGGGTGGCGGAGTCGCTGGAGGTGGTGGCCTGTGTCTTCGCCTCACGGGACTTGCTGAAGCAGGGCACCTGCTAGTTTTTGGAGAGGAATTGTCTGTCCTCTTGGGAGGCTGCTCAGGGATGAAGTCTCCGGGGAGGCACTGCCGGGCAGGAGCGCGGCCTCACGCCGTCGTCTGACTGGAGACCCGCGTCGTGCCTGCGTTCTCTGAGGAGATGGCCGCCTGCCTGGTGAGTATCGGGTTGAATTGGGATCTATGGCTCCGACTAGGTCGAGTGTGAGAAGGAAAATGAGACCATGGAAATGACCTTGATTTGGAACGTGGCTGAGATCTTGCCCCGGTCTTTTCCCTTTGTGGAGATATATATCTTTTTTTTTTTTTTTCTGGAGAAGGTTTGGTAGGTTTTGGTACAGGTTCTGGCTTGGGAACTTTAAGGATGTCGCTATCAGAAGTGGCCTCTTGTACTGGGTGTTTTTTGACTTACTCTGAAGGTTCTGGGCCTCTGTGGAGTTTTTCCTTCTGGAGGAAGGACAGGCCTAGCAGGTTCTGTGGTGGAAAGATCGAGAATGCCCGTGCTTTCTCTCGCGCAGGGACAGAGGAAGATGTTCTAGGGGAGGAGGGTGTGGATTTGTGTCTTCTCCGGCCTGCGGACTGCTCCTGCGTGTCGCTGATGCTTCCTTTTCCTTCCTTATCTCTCTTGTCCTGTATTTTGATAGCGTATTGTATTTTACTTGTAGAAGTGGAAGAATTTAGAACTTTGGGCTAAAAGGAGTTAACAGAGTTTTAGCCTAGAGGATAGTCTGACTCATCCTGGAGAATTTTGGGAAACAAGACCGTATTTAGAGATCAGCCTGCTGTCATTGTCCAGATCCGGTGTAATGAATGACCCGGCCAAATGCCTTACTTTTCACCTGGTCTGAAAGAGCATGTGCGCGTGTGATACAACAAGTGTAGCCTTCCTTAAAGTCATATAGAAACTTCAGCAGTAAAAGCAGCTCAGCAGCAGGCGTGTGGTGACGCAGTAAAGCCAAGCCGTGTCTGGATGCCACATCTCCTGAGTGCTGCTGGAAGTGCTGGCTCCTGTGCTTCTGGTGCAGCCTCCTACTGGGCAGCAGATGATGGAGCCCAAGTTTGGGGGTTCCTGTCAGCCACCTGGAAAACCCAGGTGGACTTCCAGATTCTTGGCTTTGGTATGGGCCAACCAGGACTGTTGCAGAGGTTAGGGAGGGCATGAACCAACCAGTGGACAAATCTCTTTCCCTGTTTTTCCTGCCTTGTGTCCAAATAATGGGCCTGCCTTCAAGGTGCAAGCTAGAGAAGGCCTTCGGCCCAAATAATGGCCCAAGTTAAATCTGTACTCGTGAACTATCCACTGACAGTTTTTGTGATTCCGTGTCAAATTTCAGCTACTAGTTCCTA